AGGTCTAGATGGATCACCCTATATATGTGTATCCAAACACATGTACATTGTACATCTACATATGTCCGAATGTATGTACTTTTATTATAGCATTCATATGGGCTATATCATGGAATTCCATTCAATTTCATAACAGTGCGTAAACGACGCGAAGAGCGATGTAAACTAAAATAACGGAAAGCAACAAGTTAACAATTGTAAATACAGCAGTAGAATAGCTTTTTCTCGGAAAGACAAATAGTAGAAATATGGGAGTGTTAATATTTTGAAGAAAATCCGTGAATTTTATATTTGAATATATTAGTCTCAAATCACAAGCGCTGCCGGTGTGAACAACACTTACTATAAAAAGTCGATACGCCAACTTAAAACAAAACACACGAAAACCAATAGATATATCAATAGACAATGGAACCTCTGGGTCGAAGACTTTTAATTACCATCGCACTCCATGTGGTATTCCTGTTATCTTATACAGTTTCGGCGCAACCACAAATTCTCGATATAGTACAGTATGCCATACATAATCATACAGAGATGCCTGAGCAGCATAACAATTGTGATGACATTTGCAAGGCATTGAGAGATATGGAAGTGGAGTCAAACATCGTAAAGTTATCCAGCACAGTTTTGTACACCACAGCACCTACAACCTTTCAGTGGCAGTTATTGAATATTTACGAAATAATTTTCACCATGATGCATATGAAGTATTTGCGATCGCCGGTGCCAATGTGATTTTGTGGCATAATAGCTGGAATATTAATATAAATAGTGATGTTTAGAGTCAATTTTGTTAACTAATTACAGTGTGTGATATTAGCCTTAAGTGTTATAAGAACTAGGTATGTACTTTGTAATAAAATACTTTATGAAAATAATTAGTAATAAAAAAATATAACAAATAAAATCGTAATATTTATTTATTTTTAACTATACATAATTGCTCAGCTAAGTGGTGGTCGTCGTTGACGACGTTAAATTGTAGGCTTCTCCATTTGTGTAAGAACATCAAGTCGCACACTATAATTCAAAGTCCTTTTAAAAACACCCAGCTTCAGAGAAAAACTAAAAACGCAGTTTTACTATACATATTTGGCCCATGGTTTATTGGGCATATTAATGGTTTCTTGTGTTTTTACATTATTTGGCTTTTGTCGTACCCTGCCGTAAAATAAACAGTTCTTTTTTAATACCTGGATGTATTCTCTTTGATTTGATATTAATATCAGCCAGTGAGTCAAAATATTTAAATTAATTTTTTTCAAATTTATTAGCAGGGAACGAATTTTTAGGACCCAAAAACCTATAAAAAGAAGGCAAAATAAAATAGCGAAGTAGACACTAGAAATCGCAAAAAAGGCAAAAGAAGGCACTAAAAAAGACAAAACCGAAAAATAATCAAAAAATACATTTATTTTAGAAATGTTTATTTAACAAGTAAAAAGAGAAAAGCTATGAACTAGATTCCACATTATGAAAAATTTATACTTTGACTGTCTGCACCCTTTAATGTTATTTAATTGGCCTAAAGTTTTGTTAGACTCACTTGATCATACATATGTAGATATTTGGCAAATATTGTGGGTTCAAACTTAAGGTTATTCAATATTCAAAGTAAATCGCGAGTCTAATATATTGTACATACACCCAGAAAAAGTCCGCTAAATTTATTTCTCGCAAAACATGATTTGTAACTATAACCAGATAATGTAACTGTAACCAAATCATGGGTTGAGAGAAACATATTTAGTTGACGTAACTGAACCCTTTTCTCGGTGCACATTCATAAATAACACAGGTCTGCGAAATATAACCATTCCCCCCTTCCAATAATTATGTAATTTTTTCAAATATCTAGGTATGTTAAATAAAATACAGCCTTGTTTTTTTTCTAGCACATCGTTATTTTATTTTATTGATGGTATGCATATTTTAGATTTTTTTCTTTAATTTTCATGAAAATAACAAGAATTAATTAATTAAAAAAAAACTACTTGAAAACCACTTACGGAAATTGAAAATTAACGCTAGTAATACGCGGCTACACTTAGGAGAATTGAAAAGGAATTTTCTCGGGAAGTTTACTTGATAGAATTTTTTTATTATTAGTTATTCGTAGCTTAGTGGGAAACCATCGCAGGCATGCATAATTTTATCTTCAAGGGCGCCACTCTGTAACATCAAATTTGAAGCTTTTAAGCTTTTGTTGCTCTTGACATAAATAAGCTTTTTCCAAACATTTAACTGTTATTTATTAATTTTATTTTGCACGCGGGCAAAGCTCTTTTAAGCTTTCTCGGCCCGTTATAAACCATAAAAACTGGTGTAGGAATTTGTATTTTGAAATTGTATTAACTTTTCCAGAAAAACGTATTTTTCCCCCAAAAATAATATATGTATATTTATTAAATAACAATATTTTTTACACTGTCCAACATCATTTTTGCAACAAAAAAGGTGCGATATATGTATGTATGTACATAGTTTTGAAAGAGAAAGTCATGTCGACCATTTTCGTTGAACATGTTTTTGTTATGGTTTTTTTATTTGCCCCCAAATGTGCAATTCACACAAAACTATCCGTTATTCTTATAAGAAAAAAAAATTGATTTATCTTATTTTCTGTTATCGCAGGATTGTATCGAAAACATCTTCATTGTACTCAAGTACTTTCTCAGTGCTTCCTTTTTTCTTTTTTTGAAAAAGTGCAATTATATTGAAAACCCCGACTCTGATAAAACCCCCTGCATGCAAGCTGTATATATATCAATAGATGTATGTTTGTGTGTACATCAGTGACAAACAGGGAGTCAATTCACTCTCTGTACGCCTACAAGTATATGAAATCACCGTAAAGCTTTAAAAAGCTTTGCCCATCGACTGTTTCGGACGTTACTAACGTATACCTATGTACATACATATGTATGTATAGGATGATCCATCTAGATCTCGTTTTTTTTTTAATAAAACACTTAAAACAGAACTAGATATCTAAATCTTTATTATCACCCGCAAGAAAAAGAAAAAACCAAATCCATTAAAAAAATCTGTAAAGTCGGCAACATTTGGTTTCAGCAAGTTATCGTGTGATGTTATACCTACGGATTTTTTTCTTGGGGGTTATGTAAAGTCAGAAGTCGTCGTTGATAAGCCAACTATGATTCAAAAATTGGAATCCAACATTGCTCGCGTAATTCGCGCATTGCTGGAAGAGTAATTGAAAATTGGACCTTCCGAATGTGCCACCTACAGCATAGTCGCGGCCAACATTTGAATGAAATTACTTTTAAAAAGTAAATTTCAGAGATTCTTGTTTCGGGTGATAATAAACATTTCGACATCCGATTCTATTTTAAGTGTTTTATTTAAAATTAAAAAAAAGGTCTAGATGGATCACCCTATATATGTGTATCCAAACACATGTACATTGTACATCTACATATGTCCGAATGTATGTACTTTTATTATAGCATTCATATGGGCTATATCATGGAATTCCATTCAATTTCATAACAGTGCGTAAACGACGCGAAGAGCGATGTAAACTAAAATAACGGAAAGCAACAAGTTAACAATTGTAAATACAGCAGTAGAATAGCTTTTTCTCGGAAAGACAAATAGTAGAAATATGGGAGTGTTAATATTTTGAAGAAAATCCGTGAATTTTATATTTGAATATATTAGTCTCAAATCACAAGCGCTGCCGGTGTGAACAACACTTACTATAAAAAGTCGATACGCCAACTTAAAACAAAACACACGAAAACCAATAGATATATCAATAGACAATGGAACCTCTGGGTCGAAGACTTTTAATTACCATCGCACTCCATGTGGTATTCCTGTTATCTTATACAGTTTCGGCGCAACCACAAATTCTCGATATAGTACAGTATGCCATACATAATCATACAGAGATGCCTGAGCAGCATAACAATTGTGATGACATTTGCAAGGCATTGAGAGATATGGAAGTGGAGTCAAACATCGTAAAGTTATCCAGCACAGTTTTGTACACCACAGCACCTACAACCTTTCAGTGGCAGTTATTGAATATTTACGAAATAATTTTCACCATGATGCATATGAAGTATTTGCGATCGCCGGTGCCAATGTGATTTTGTGGCATAATAGCTGGAATATTAATATAAATAGTGATGTTTAGAGTCAATTTTGTTAACTAATTACAGTGTGTGATATTAGCCTTAAGTGTTATAAGAACTAGGTATGTACTTTGTAATAAAATACTTTATGAAAATAATTAGTAATAAAAAAATATAACAAATAAAATCGTAATATTTATTTATTTTTAACTATACATAATTGCTCAGCTAAGTGGTGGTCGTCGTTGACGACGTTAAATTGTAGGCTTCTCCATTTGTGTAAGAACATCAAGTCGCACACTATAATTCAAAGTCCTTTTAAAAACACCCAGCTTCAGAGAAAAACTAAAAACGCAGTTTTACTATACATATTTGGCCCATGGTTTATTGGGCATATTAATGGTTTCTTGTGTTTTTACATTATTTGGCTTTTGTCGTACCCTGCCGTAAAATAAACAGTTCTTTTTTAATACCTGGATGTATTCTCTTTGATTTGATATTAATATCAGCCAGTGAGTCAAAATATTTAAATTAATTTTTTTCAAATTTATTAGCAGGGAACGAATTTTTAGGACCCA